TAGTGGTAATGTGATATATACCAGATGCTCTGCAAAGTGTTGGTGTAACAGCAACTGTCATCTAATACAGTGTAGTAGCAAAACCACAGGCTGCCTCTCCTGCAATGAAGATGGCATTGTTGTAGAATATATTAGGGCTGAGAAACACTGTCATCTTCAAGAGATCAGTGTGTTAAAGATGTAGAACTATTGGCTTTTAATAGCTACTCACAATAAAGTAATATCACTTTTATACAACAGTTTAGTAATCAAGTATTTTATTTAGATATATATATATATATATATATATATATATGTATATATAAATAAATAAATAAATAAATTTAATCTGCCAACAAGAATAGCATAGCATTAAGCTTTGTGTGCCACGGACTGGAACAGAGTATGTGAGTGGACTGGAGTGACAACAGCATTCTGTAATCTCTCTTCCCCATTACATGAACCTTCGACATTACACTGAGTAACATAAGCTACAGCTTTTGTGTATTCACTGTTTTCTCCATTACTGCCACGTCTCTGGAGATTCAAACCCCTCCACTAGCTGAGTAGCAGATCCATGAGATTGATATCTGTCTGAGGGCGGATAATCAAAAGCCTAAATTCAAAGCGATGTGTGCCACAGGCATTGATATTGATAAGTGTTAGTGTCCCCTTACGCCTCTTCATTACTCAAAATCTAGTCCTCTGTTCTCTGGAGAAGGTTAAAGGCTGCTGCTAATTATTAATGTAAATGTGTTATTTTCATACAGCCTATGAAATATTCATGTTCTTGCACACCAGCAGGCATCAATTTGCACTGTAGCTTATGTGCATTTTTAGTGGTGTGTGACGTGTATGGAGGGACACACTTCTATTGTAACAATGGTGGAAATAAAATGAACCCATTTCCCAGATGCCTAAAGCAGATTTTTATTTTTTTTAAAGTACTGTGCATAGACTAGATAATTATTTTTATGGTCTCTAATAGGATCAGATGCTTTAACTATGCCATGGTGAATTGATCTGAGGTGTAGCCATTGGGCCAATATCTTTTATAGATTATAGACAGCAATATCCCCTCCTCGCTCAAAGCAGTCTGTAATTGCTGTACTCTATTTTTTTTTAAAGTTTGCTCATTAATGTTGCCTTTTTATAAACACTGATACAGGTTATTTTTATGTTTATTTAAGTAAATGAAAACCAATATGCAGAATCAATTGATTTTTTTTTTCTGATTTTCAGACAAAAAAGAAAATATAATAAAAAAACAATATAAATAATATATTTTTTAATAAAATAAATAAATCAATTAAATATGAACTGTGATCATCAAACGAATGTATAAGAAAAAAATCTAAAAATAAAATGTTTTGTGTATTCACAAAAATCAATATAAATATATATATTTTTAAATACAATAAATGGCATAATAAATAAACTGATCATCAAGAAACCTTTATTAAAAGATAAAATGTTTGAATTTAATAATAATGATAATTATTATTATTATTATTAAAAACTGGTTATTGGTTTGCGCTATACTAGCAGCATATATAAATAATAGTTTTAGTAAAAAAAATAAACAAAATGTATTATTATAAATAATATTTAGTTATAAGTTGTTTTTTTAATAACATAAATAACTTTAAATTATTACTTTTATTATGAAACCAATTATTGGTCTGTCCTCTGTAATGGTTTATATTTTCCACAAATAAACCTACTGTTACTGCCAAAATTAAGCAACATCTACAGTATGCTCTTCCGCAACACGCACATACTCTGTAACTGTGGCCTATTCAGTGCACGTTTTTTTGCAATTTGTCTTTTGGGAATGCTTGAAGAGTGAAAGATTCCATCTCTCTGTTTCTTCTCTCAACCTCGCTTCTCATTAAGTCTCTCAACCGCAATTGCTGACATCCCACTGAACAAATGAGCCCAATAGAAGAGCGCTGATGTCAGAAAAAAGGACAGCTCTCTCTTTCTGTCTCAACCTGTCAGAGCAAGAGAGCAAAGGAAGTAGATCAGAGCCACCGACTGAGACAAAAACACCCGCACACACCGTCAGCGAACTCATGTTATCTGTACGAGCAACTGCTTTGTCGTTCGCACATCATCTTGACGTTACCGGCTTGCCGCTTGTCTTCTATGTATTTTCGAGTGAACAGAACAAGTCTAAAACATGGTGTCAGTGTATTTCCTGAGAACATACAAAAGATACATGTTCAAAATATCAGCTACACTACAGATCACCGATCGCACATACAGTTTAGGCTGGCAGATGGACTATATTATACAGTCTCCTGGTGTGCGCTTTCTCTGTCTCTCACAAAATATGCATGATTTATTGTTGTAAATATGAAGAATGATACAAATTAAAATGTCCAAAAAAAACTTTACGGTTACGTACTTTCTGCAACTGAAAAGAAAGTAAAAGGGTTCAGTTTTTTCATTTACTGAAGTCAAAAACTTTTTCATTTACTGAAGTCAAAAACTTCAGGAAGTGAACAGAAGTGTCTTAACCAAATCCCACCCAACAAAATCCTATCATGCAAATAAATAAAGGCAATTGTTTTTCAAAAGCGCAAAAGAGCCATCATCACCCGTGCCATAGTGTGTTGAAGCTTAATACTTCAAGAACATGTTTTTAATTGGCCATTTAGCAACTGGAGGTGGCTAAAGCAGGATGCCATTGGAGCGAAGATGATAGGAACAAAAGAAAAGCAAGAATTCATTAAACACATTTCATCTTTCCTTCGCCTGTCCTGCACACACAGTTTTAATGAGCTCTTCTCATTAGCTGCTGCTTAGTTCAAGCCCTTGGACTTTGCCCAGACTTTCACACACTGTGCTTCTTTTTAAGTCTTCAAATAGAGAACACTTACTCTTCAATTCACTCCCTGTAGTTTTATTTTTTTTTCCAATTTGAGGCTAAGATTTGGGTTTAGCAGTGTTAACAATGACAGAAGTTTACATAGATTAAATTTCTTATCATCTCTTCTCAAATCATTTCCATTTGTGCAGTTCAATTGCATGTCTTTCAGCTCATTTCAGCCTGCTTCAAGTAACGTAACATATGTGTGTTTTTTCATGCGCTGAAGTGAGCACACTTGTCAGTGGATAAAAAAAGCAGTTATTGTGGGAGTTTCTGTTGTTTAAAATGTAAATGCTGAAATTCATTAGGATTGCCAAGCTGGGAGCTGTCGCGTTTTGAACAGGTTGGCTGTGCAGTGCACTCTGAAGCCTTTGTTTGATGCCAGAGTTGATATTAGTGAGCCTGTCACATGGCAAACAGTAATTATGCTTACAAGAAGGGATTTTGGCAGGTAGAGGGGGACTGGGGACTGTTTTATACCAGTTTTCCAGTTTTTTCTATCTTGAAAGCTCGCCCTCACCAAGGTTCCATATATTTGATTAAAAATACAGTAAAAACAGCAATTTGATCAAATTCTATACAATGCATAACTGTTTTCTATTTTATTATATTTTAAAAAGTAAGTTGGTGCTTAAGAAACATTTCATATTATCAGTATTGGAAACAGTTCTGCTTCATATTTTATGGAAACTTTAATAGATTTTTTTCTCTGATGAATAGGAAGTTCGACAGAACAGCATTTATTTGAAATATAAGTTTTTGTAACATTATTAATGTCTTTAATGTCACGTTTGATCAATTGAATGGATCCTTGCTGATTAAAATTATTAATTTATTTAAAAAAAATCTTACTGGGCCCAAACTTAGTGTTGAACTAGTGTTGGCTATATATTGGAATATTTTGCTATATTTCGCAATAAACTATATCTATACCTATACTCTATGAATACAGGTGCTTCATGCAAGTAAAAAAAAAAAATCTCATTTTAAAGTTTCCAAACTTTTTTTGTCACTTTTTATCCTAATATACCAAAAAGTCAATCTTTTTGTCTTATTTTTTTTTTAAGCATGTTCAGTACATACAGTTTCTCATAGACCCCTGCTGTGAAAATCTGAGGTCCCAAATAGAGGTGAAGGACATTTCCTGAAACTAATGTTTTCTTAGCCACAGATGCTACAGAATTTCTCTTCCCTTTTATTTAATGTTGACCTGAGGTGAGGGGGTTTGTTCATCATTATATAATTGACATATATTACTAGGGCTGCCCCATAATAGTTGACTAAAGGTTAGTCGACGAGAAGAGGCTTGATCGACCAAAATTTTATTAGTCGCAGAAAAAAAAAATCCACAGGAAGTGGTGAGGTTCGACAGATCGTTAACGGCTGCATTTTGTGGTAATACAGTACATCCAAACACTCACCTATCATTCTTCAACCAAATATGGCTTATCATCTGAAATATGTAAGTAGTAGCAACTTTACATGGCCGCTCAATCTAATGTTAACCTAGAAAATGTGCACAATTCAAGTGTCTGTGCGGAGTGTGAAATCTGAACAGTAGCGCGCTCACAGCATGACAGATGGAGGCGCCGGTGCAGTCACTTGCTCTTAAAATACTCCGTCATTTTGGTCATACAGATAAGAGTAACACATCTTTCGAATCTGTAAAGCCTCTACGTTTATTTGTGTGCACTTACAATAACACCAAAACATTGCGCTTTTGTAAAATAATGAAAGCAAACAGGATGCACTTTCTGCCGTCTCGGCCTCTGCTGAGCGCGAAACTCTGTGTATACTTGCCTTACAGACATGAAAAATATATCTATAGAGAGTGAAATGTCTACTTTCAAATGAAACAATTCAAATCTGAAACAAAAAACAAATATTCTCAGACTATGTAATCCTTATGAAACTTGCATGCAGGCGCGTCGACTGCTGTGGAGATGAGTCAGTGTCGCCGACTTCATCTCTTAAGCCGAAAACACAGAAAACACTAGTTTATCAATAGATTATTAAAATGTTAATGCAGTTTAATCTTACTGTTTTTCCCTGACACATTCAACATCATTACTTCTGCTGGTGTGCTGTGGCTATGTAGGAAATGAAAGGCTCATTAGCATGATTTAAATGGTTTATTAATAAACGTGCGATTAGTCAACTAATGCTTAAAATGAACGACTACTGGTCGACCAGAAAAATCTTTAGTCGAGGGCAGCCCTATATATTGCACACCTCCTGTGTTCAGTCACCCTCACTTGCACTCATTTGCTTCAGGTTGCAGAGTGTCAGCCCGGTTACCTAGTTTCCCTGGTAACCACTTATGCCATTTGAGGGTTATTTTGGAGAACATCATATGGCATGCTTAAAGAGCTTGGCATAGTGCGACTTTGGGTTTTCTTAGAGATATTTGTTCATGTAAATAATAAAATGATTGACTTGATTCTACTGATTGCCTTGAAATCTGTTACTGTAATTTAAGAATTGAACTCTGTTACCGTATTTAATGTAGTTGCTCTTAATAAGATGTTAATGATAATGATAATGAACTATGTTATATTGCTAAAAAGATGTGGAAATCTGAATGCTATACCTATATGTGCTTATTGAGCTTTCAATTTTCAGTTTCCCTTTGGTCCTTTCTAACAACTTCTTCGTTCAGGAAGGGCTTTCATTATATGTTGTTTGCAGAAATTTAGTCCCATTTAGACATGAACACCTAAATTAAAAGGGGGTGTCTACATATTTTTGGCTTTATAGTCTACATATGGGTATAATAATAACAATATGAGAGTGCAAAAGTGTCAAAGCATCATGGACCTTAAACTAGAAATGCTTTCAAGAACATAAATCTGCAGTATACAGAAATGATAACTCAGATTTCTGGAACCTACTATGGTGCATTACCACTATCCTTGAAGGTAATTTAAGTTGGGGCTTATTGGAATGTTGCTGCTGCTGATTCAGTTAGTGTGCAGGGCTTCAGTCTCATACACTTGCTATGTACATTTGTCATATGCAGTATAGGCTGTTTACTGGCCTGTTAGAGCATTTAAATATCTAGCGCTGGGGACAGGATAAAAAAAATACTTGCACAAACAATAAGAAGATTCATTCTTTCCTCCCTTGCTTTTCTCCACAGTGTGACTGAATATTTATGAGACGGCGAGCCTGGAATTCAGATTCTGCATGTTGCCATATGTTATCCTTGAGCAGGCTGTGTGCTAATGAGCCTGGCTCAATGTACCAAGCTGCCGTATGTTATGGAATTGCTTTTCAAATACTTCTTTCCTTTCTGCTTTGGCATAACTTGAAGTATGGTGTTGAGTAACATGAGAGTGGCTTTAAAATCCATTTGTCACCAGTCATTTTAAATTTACATCCTATGGTTTCATCTGCACCTGGATAAATGACCATTTTTGCAGCAACAACATGGACATAATAGGAAGAAAATGAAAGGACAGCAGTGGGATACACTAGTTAATCAGAATGTCACTGTTGAATTGAATTGTTGTGGATCAGTTGACAGGAAGTGTTTCATAGTCTAATCATTGTTTTGCTGAAGTATCACGGGGGGTACAGTGCTTGGTTTATCAAATCTCCAATACAGAAAATCTAGCAAAATGAAGAATTTAGGAAATATTCCCTTTCCATTCATATAGTAGAACCTCAGATGAATTGGCCACATTCCATGGGAAGTTTATTTGGAATTTGAATTGAATTGGTAGGAAATATTTAAATAATTGCAATTCAAAAAGAAGCATTGATGTTCTCAGAAATGATGCTCTGGCATTCTGGTCCATAAAATGTAGGTTAATTTATTAATTGTTTCTATGCGTTGCATTTCAAACATAATTTTTTTTCTGGTAATACCCATATTTTGTCTGTATGAATGTGATTATCATCATACTGAATAATGAAATGTATTATTAAAAACTTTATAAAATTTTAATACATTTAATACTTTTAAATGTATTTAATTATAATTCTACTTGATGTTCATTACACAGTGATATGCATTGATATGTGATATACACATATACTGTATATTGTTACAAAATATTTCTATTTCAAATAAATGCTGCTTTTTTTTTTACTTTGTATTCATCAAAGAATTCTGAAAAAAATAAATCTCATGGTTTCCACAAAAAAAAAACATTGGTAATAATTAGAACTGTTTCATGAGAACCAAATCAGCATATTACAATGATTTCACAAGCAGTATGTGACACTGAAAACTGCAGTAATGGCTGCTGAACATTCAGCTTCGCCATCAAAGGAATAAATAAAATGTTTAAGTATATTAAGATATATTAACTATAATAAATAACATTTTTAAGTATATTAATAAAACGGTGATTTTAAATTACAGTAATATTTTACTATATTAATGTTTTTACTGTATTTTGATCAAATAAATGTTTTTGACCATAAACGTTTTAATGGTTGTGTACAATGCTAGTGATAACTGTTTTTATAATACATTCTGTTTCTATTCATGCAAAAAGCAATCAGTTTAATGAACATTAAATAAGTGTTGGTATGTGGGTAGGCACTTTGATTTTAACCCTCTATTCACACAGTGATCCCTATCAGGACGGCACAGCAGAATAACCCAATATTATAATAATTTAGCCAATGAAACTAGCAAATAAAAAATCAGACACTTGCTTTCTGGCTAAGTGTACCCTTAATTTTGCTTTTCGGTTACATCCAAGAATTTTAATTTAGGTGCATCGCTGATTTAAACAGTCAGCAGATTGCTGCTGCCCTTCCAATATGTTCCACTATTTCCATCTCGAACTCTTTCCTGTATCGGTGGTGTGAAGTGGTAATTTCACAGGCATGTGAAGCTCTAGGCATTTTGCTGGAACTCCCGCCTGTCATTCATTACTGTCCTGAGACTCCACTGCTAGTGTGTGAATCGCAGCCTGTGCCCATGCGCTCTAGCGCAGCGGTGGGCCCTGCGCCTGCCCTGTGAGAGCTAAGTGCTGCCACAGCGCTTGTCCTCACTTGTTCATTAAACTTCTGAGGCTCCTTCTATAAATCTCTTTGCTGCTGCATTTTATGATGAACTGCAGTCCGCAGCCCTAGTTGTTTGTCTCTGACTGCGTTTTATGGCTGGAGAATCGTGAGCTCTATTGCCTGAATCTTTTCATTAAGCGTCATTGCTGGTGAAATTCACTGCCTGTGTGAAGAACGATGTCTATGAGTGGCCCTTCCTCCTCCTATTTATTGTGCTTTAGAGTAAAATGAATAATTCCCCCAAAAATGAAACTTCTGTCAAGACTTTCTCTCTTCCATAGAATGCAAACGGAGAAATATTTAAGAATATACTGGAGCTTTCAAACTTCAAAAAGGTTGGCAAAACACCTGAAAAGTGTCCATATGTTTGGAAGTTTTGGACTGTTTTTCGCTTGTAAATGGTGTATCTGTGCATATTTCTCTCCTGATTCAGACCACATGGCTTTTTCATTGGAGAAGCAATATCATGGTCTTAACCCTTTCAGTGGTGAGTTTAAAATATTCTATCGGTCCCCCAGAGTGAGTTTCTTTTAAGGCGACCGTTATTTTAGAACATTTCCCCTTACTGTTTCCATGGCGACGCGTCATGCTTGTCACGTGACACACCGCGGCCACAATAAGACTGTATGAGTCTTTTATTTTGTTTTTCCTTTTTTATTTGAATATTCACAAACTTGCTTGCCATGTCATGAACAATCTGATATTGCGATTCACAAATATGTGTAAAGGAGTGTGTTTTGTCATTTAAAAACCTTTATGAATGATCTTGATCGTGATCTGTAATGTGAGATGGGCGCCGCCATGTTTGTTCGCGCCGCAGTTCAGAGTCCTGTCAGTCGGATTTACAGCACGTGAATTCATGAATTTCTCCCGAAATACAAGTAAGTAAGTGGCCGGTAAACTGGGTGAAGAATAGAGTGAACTTTATAGTTACTTACACCATGTGTATCTGATATGAATAAAACACACCGGCAAATTAAATTTGAATTGAATTGTTATTGTTGCTTCCATAGACATATGTGTGTATTTTACAAACTCTAAATATATTATTTTACTAGTACTTATGTGTATTTACATTTTTGAAACCTAAAATGTGCATTATGTGGTTAAGAAAACTGCATAGTTGTGATAATATGACCAGCAGTGCACTTCTCTCTCGGGCTCAGCGCCAGCTAAAGCCCGAAAGCAGTTTGAATTTGGCACTAATGTGACGACACTGAACGTTCTGATGCCACGTTCCAGGCAACCCGTAACCCGTGTTTTTCCAACCTTCTACCCGTGAAAGTGCACTGGAACGGCAGTCAAACCCGTGACTTCCCACCCGTGAACTCGTACTAGATCGATGTAATCCCAGTTACGCGCTCTGACGTCACATAGCCCGCGAAACAACAATGGCAGCCCCTACGGATGCGGTGTTTATGCAAGTGGTACACGGTGAGAAATAGACTTTAGGATAATATAACGTTGCAATCAAATTAATAATAATAAATAATACACACACGATTATGTATTACAATGTTATGTGTCTGAAACGATAAGTATGTCGTGAAAGTATATCGCCACATGGAAATGTTGGGCATAGCTAACGTTAAGGTAATGTTAGATAAACCTGAATTTGACCATGCAAACGATCATGGTTATAAAAAAAAAATAATGCAATGTACAATTTCTCAGCATAGCGAAATTAGGCATACAATGTCTAGCTAGCCAGCTCACAGTGAGCATAAGACCCGTACGGTCCGCCATGCTGGTTTGTTTACATCTAGCTACCACTTCTTCTTCTTCTTCTTCTTCTTCTTCT